CGGGGCACCAAAATGGCTCGGGCCGGCCCCGGCTATTGTGGCCCTGTGACAGGCTGATGAAAGTCGATCAGAAAGGAGGATGCAGAGACAGATTTGGGGGTGGGGAGAAGAAAAGAAAAAGAAATAAAAAAAGAAGTCACAAGAAGGCGGGCTGGCATTTTCCTGGCATATCTCCCCTCGATTATTCAGTTGCATCGTCTTCTGTACTTAAGTGTCAACCGCCCCCAATTTCTGCCTAGCTTCCCTTGCGGAATGATTAATCCATGCCATAATTTCTGCAGGATTCTGGGAAAACCTGCCAGAATCTCTGATAAACTTTTGTTTTAAAATCTGATGCAGTCATTGCTAAAGGGCCAGTCCTGTAAATGATACATTGCGAGTCAGATGTCCAAATATATTGGAGGCTCTGGGATTTGTAATCTCTATGGCCCCTGAACTAGGAACAAAGGGAGAGACATTTTTTCCCCAGTCTTATGGGTTCTAGAAAGGCCGCTGATAATCTATATTTAACCTGCATCAGGAACTCCCTTTGGACGATCAACTGGATTTAGCAGCCAGAGCACTGGACGGTGAGGTGAGAGCACTGCATTCAGTTCTGAGCTCTGCTACCTGCCGTGTGACTTTGGGCAAATTGTTCTGCCTCTTCTTTGGCTGTCTTCTCCTTTTAGAGTATGAGCTTCAAGGGCAACTTCTCCCACCGTGCACTTGGACGGAGTCCAGAACCACAAGGTCACAATCTCAGTTGGAATACTCATCTAAAACATCTGCACATCCCCGCATGAATGTGTAGGCTCTCAGCTGACATAAAGAGGCCTGGTATAAATGTCTAGAGATAATGATTTAGGAAAAGCTATGCCCAGACAGTCCAGAGACCTATCCCTGACCATGCCGGTACCGGGTAGTTAAGAAGTGGCAAGACTATCACGAATGGAATCTTCTCACCATTAGTGATGGATCTACCTAACCCTGGTTCTCTCAACCCAGCCAGCCAGCCACCGCTGCCACGGTATCTGAGCCTCTCGCGAGCTGTACTATAGTTTACTTCACAAAACCTCATTTTACAGCTCCGGATTGAGCAGCTGGCCACACAGTTTCTGTCCACACAGGAAGCATGGGGTAGAACAGAGAAGCCAACTCCTGTGTCCAAGTTACGGGCTTTCCGGCTGCCCTGGGAACATGTCAGCCGTATCCTCCCACACAGCAAACTGACATATTTTCATCACAAAATAATTTTGACAGACAATGGCTTTTCATCAAAAAATCAACATGTTACAGAAAAATGTTCATTGTCGACCAAATTTTAAAAACACACACACATACAACGAAGAAAAACGGCTTCCAGAAACCAAAGATGTTTCCATTTTGTTGTTGAAAACACCAACGTATTCACTAGAAATTCCAGTGAAAACCCAACATTCTTCCAAATTTCCAACAGAAAACAGCTGATGGTTTTAACTGGCGCTAGCCCTCAATATACGGAGTGTGATGGCAACTTCAATACTGAATACCGGCGCATTAATTCACAGAGCCCTGGATAATCTGGAGCACTACAGTGGAGTCAAGAGGTATTAATATATGGCAGCAGAAATTGGATGACTGTATGGAATTTATAACAGTACATTAGAAGAGTGTTAAGCTCTCTGCTTTGGAGTGACCGA